TATATATATATATATATTAAAAAGTTAAATTCTTATTTTCTTCAGGATCAAGTTTTTGATACTGTTGTAAAGTAAGGAAACATAAGTGAAAATTATAATTAAAGACATTGTTATACTGTGCACATAAATAGTTTCGGGATCAAATTTTTGGCGCCGTTGCTGGGGAAATTAATTGATTTAAAAGTAAAATTCTATTTAAAATTCTATTTTTGTAAAATTCTATTTTTAGAAAGTCTTATTTAAAATTTAACAATTATTGTATTTTATTTTGTTTATTTTATTTTATTTTTATTTTTAGCTGGTGTATGCATAGTTCAGGTTCTGAAGAACTAGTGCCCTACGATTCTGAATTATAAAGAACTATTAAGAAAATCAGAAAAATAAAAAAAATCAAAATCTTGAAAAATCTAAAAAAATTATAGAAATAACAAACCAAAACAATCAAAATGTGAAATTCATCAAGAGTTTAGACTTTGAAGAGATTATTCCAACCCTACTGTAGATGAAATTCATTTTAGTATCTAAAAACCTACTATAGTGGCTAAGTCATTTGAGCTTAAACCTGCTATTATCCAATGGTATCAAATAATAAGTTTGGGGGATCACCAACTAAAGATCCAAATTCATATCTTGCCAATTTTTTAGAATTGTGTGCTACATTTAAATATGATGGTGTATCAGTTGATGTCATAAGACTTAGGTTATTTCATTTCTCACTAAGGGATAAAGCTAAGATGTGGTTGAATTCATTAGCACCTGGATCTATCAGAACTTGGGGTAATTTAGCACAAAAATTTCCTGTTAAATATTTTCCACCATCGAAAATTGCAAAGCTTAGAAATGATATTACATCTTTTAATCAATTTGAAGGGGAATCTATTTACGAAGCATGGGAAAAATTTAGATAACTCTTAAGAAAGTGTCCACATCATGCTATACCAGATTGGTTAATAATTTAAACTTTTTATAATGGATTAATTGGATCTCTTAGATTTATTATCGATGCTGCTGCTGGTGGTTCATTGTTGTCAAAATCATTTCATGACGCTTATGCTTTAATTGAAGAAATGGCTACCAATAATTTTTAATGGCCTTCTAAGAGGGTGAATCCAAAGAAAGAGCCAATATTCATTAATATGATGCATTTACTATGTTAGCAAATCAAGTTGCTGCAATTTCAAGGAAGTTAGACCAATTTGAAATGAATTTTTCTCAACCAATTTTCATAATTGAAG